TTTGTTCTCCGTCTCTTTGCGTATTTGCTTTCTAATTTTCTCTTTTCACACTTTCGGATTGACGTTACCATTAGGGGGTGAAAATTTGGTTTGTGGTTTCCGGTTTAACCGCAAATCGCACCAAATCACACGTAGTTTTGTTAACTACTAACCGTATTTTGTAGTTAGTAAAATCGTGAATTTTGTAGTTAGTGATTGACTACAATAAGCGTACAAACCAAACTTATCCATTGAAGTTTTATTTTTATACGTATTAGGATGTAATAATTAATATTAATAAGTATGGTTATCAAATGCAAAGGAGTTGTCTAAAGTTTAGTAGTTAGCACCATAACAAGTTATTTGTTATATTGCTGAAATAGTTATAGAAGATCCTAACTTCTACTAAATATTGAATTATCGACATCTTATTGAATAAGAATGATGTTGAATTGTTGTTAACAGTGTATTGCCCTTCAATAGTTTTATCATTTTTTTTTATTTTGCACTTGATTTTCTCCACATATTTTATTGCTCTACTCTTTGTATATATTTTATTCGATATCTCTTTCATACATGATATATGATTCTCATTTTTTACCGTTTATGTCATTCTTTGTATCTCTCTAATTTGTTTTCTTCAATTGATAAGAAACATATAAAAAATATAGATAAATGTAGAGCTAATACCACTACAACGTCCAAACTACCCGGAAAATGCCACTTGTGTCCTATTTTTTCCAATATTCCATTCATGTAGTGAACTATGATACTTTGTGTCATTTATATCATGTCAATTTCGTTGACGTTAAAGATAACGGTCGACCAAACGGTGGTCAACGCAAAGTCGACTTTTGTTGACGTGGAAAAAAATATGGGTGCCACATAGATGCCACATCACTGATCTCATATTTTTTTTAATTCAAATTAAATGAAAAATTGAGTTAAAATTATAAAAAAAAACTGTAAACTCAATTTTATTATTAACCAAAAAAATTAAAACAAAATAATTAAAAATCTCATTATTCTTCTTCCCTACCGATTCAACCTCTCTTTCTCTAAAAAATCTCCAAGACGATTCTGATTTCTAGCAATGAAGCTGCCGCATCATCTCCTTCTTCCCCCAATCCGACCCGGCAATGAAGATGATTCCGATTTCCATTTTCCAAGCAATGAAGCCGCCACATCATCTCCTAACTTCCCCCAATCCGACCCGGCAATGAAGACGATTCTGATTTCTCAGTTCTCATCAATGGCGAGATTCAGGGTCTCATAACTCCACTTCAATGGCAGATCTGACTATGTCGCAGTCGTGCTCCAGCGACAATCTCCGATTTCTTCGTTATATGGGCTCTCTTCTTTGCCCACCGCCTCCAAATCTGAAGTCAATTGCTTCCCATCATTCTCAACAGATCGCCTACAAGGCCACCATCGAGACCGAGAGCCACCTTTGCTTCCTTTATCGCATTTGAAAAGCCAACTAAAAATGGAGTGGCTGTAATCTCAGTTGGACCCTAGCCGAATTATCAAACCCTTAAAGGATCTGAAGATTGATAATGAAAAGAATCAAGAGGAATCCCCTCGAATTTCTGGTGCACATAAAGGAAAAGAGAAACGGATCGATCGATGCACATAGAATAGGAGGAATCGGAGGGGCAGTATCATCAAGATTCAACAGTGGTCAATCCTTGAATCGCTCGATCCCTCAAGATCCCCGTGTAGAGAGCCCATATGTTCGCCAGCATTCTCCTCTTTTGCGGCGGTGAAAGATTGCGGCATATCTTCAGTGACGAAGACAGCTCTCACTGCCATCCGAAATCGAAAGACTAGCTCCCCTGCCTCCGTCGTAGTCGCAGCCGAAGAGCAGCTCCCTTACTCGATCAAATTAGGTGGGCATTGTTATTGGTGCTTTGATTCACCAATCCGCAATGTGAATTCTACATTTGCGATGTAGCAATGAGTTCCTCGCAAATCCAGACCGATTTCCAATGTGTTCTTCGCCAATCCGTCGGATCTGGGTCTTGCGCTCTGCGGTGGAGGAAGAATGACGGCAAGCTCGGTGGTTCTGTTTCCGCAACCGTGGCGCCGGTGGATCATTGTGAGTGATGGTGAACAGGAAAGGTGAACCAGGGAGAAAGGATTGAGGGTGAATGGTGGAGATGAAACGTTTTTATTTTTATTTTCATTGTTTTTATTTTTTTTATTAAATAAATTAAAATTCCACATCATGTGCCACATCAATGCTGACTGGACCTTCTATTAAAAACTAATGGTCAAAACGAATCAACTTTAACAGAAAAATCGTTCAGGACATGGATGGAATATTGGAAACAATAGGACACAAGTGACATTTTTCGGATAGTTCGGGTGTTGTAGTGGTATTAGCCCATAAATGTATAACTTTGATAAATTGGTTTTTGCGGTTAAACACAAACTAACCACACCGAACCACAACGGTTAGTGGTTAGCCACTAATCATAATGTTGCGCTTCATATTTAGAGTATTTAGAGATTTGTGATTGTGATAAATCGCAAAATGTGGTGTGGCTAACTACAACCGCACCGACTTCCACTTCTAGTTACCATTATTGCAACGAGGGAGTGAAAAGATGAATAGAGAGTACTCCACGATACTTAAAGGCAAAGAGCTTTGTTGTTGGTATAGTACCAACAAGAAATGGTTGCGAATAGAGAAGTAGGGAGCCCCACTGGAATCAATGTATATATATACAGAGAGTTGCAGGCTTGCAGCCCAAACCAAGGCTGTAGTGATGGAAACGGTACAGAAGATAGAAAGACAAGAGATAAGTAGTGCAAGTACTCTTTTTGGTGCACAGATTAATTCCTTAGACATCACAACCAACTAATAAAGGCTTTCCATTCCGACCCATTCAGTTAATTAATCAACCCATTTTTTTCTCATTTGTTTGTTGAAATGAGAACAAGCTAGCATAGCCACGTGCCTCAATTTTTTTGGCACGTAGTGCCAACTTAATTACGTACGTAGCATTCATTTGGAGTGACCAATCGTGTCCTCTCTCCTTTCCAGACAATATGATGTTATGTTTATGTGCCCTGTATGAGCTCTAAATTTCTAATCTTGTGGATGACAATACTGTGGTGGACCCGGGATATTTGGACATATGTGACGTGTCCATAAAAATAAGTTAATAAATTGATAAAAATAAAATAAATGTAAATACAATATATTAGACACAACTATTATGAAACGGGGAATTATAGCCACAATTATGTAAATTCAAATTATTATCCGTAACTACTGTTGCGCGTCAATACATGGCTAACTGTATGTTACTATTATTGAATTCTTAACGGAGAAGGGCACGTCATCGGCCACGACAACAACCACGTCGGGCTGTTTTAATTTAAAACTTTAAAACATAAAAGTTTAGTCAGCATTACTAACAAAATTGTTAATAGAGAGTTAACGTTTGATTAATAATTTGAATTTTCATAGTTGTGGCTATAATTCCCCGTTTCATAATAGTTGTGGCTAATATATTGTATTTACCCTAAAATAAATGTTAATTGATAAAGTTGACAATTTCATTATTTTTATGGCGAATCACGATAAATTTTCTTATTCGAAAAGGTTTGTAAAATATATTTGTCGCTTATCTTGTGAATCAAATCTTTTTCGATGTACACAATTAAGAAGGTCATCCGTAAAAATGATTATGAACATCGTTTTTTACTAACTTCATAACAAAAGAGGAGTTTTCCAAGTTTGCAATTGCAATAGGTGAATGAAGATTAACTAATTACTAACAACGTATGCGAAGCTAAATACCCGAAGTAAATTGACAGAGGACTAATTCCAAAGTAAACCAAGGCGCCAATACACAGTGGTTAATGGTTATTAGTACCCAACTTTGTCAAACCGGATTATATTGTTGCGCCGGTTTATTAAATGAAATGTTTCAACGGGTGGTATGTAGAATTTGTTATTGTCGGTTCATGTTGGTTTAACCAGATATGTAGAAATATGGAAAAAAAAATATTACTAAATGAATTTAATCATGTATAAAATATATTTGAAAATTTTTTGTTTACAATTCATATTTAAATAAAATACGACATTCCAAATAAAATAAAAAAATACTCATATTTAAATACAATATTTAACATCAATATCTAAATATTTATACTCGAATTCAACAAATAATAGATATATATTTCACTTTTAACTACATAAAATAAATAATATATTTATTTATTTATTAAATTCACTATAACGTCATCATTTTGCTTAGAGGTCGTAATCGATCATAACATTTATACAGGTGATGTTCAAGTTGGTTTTCCAACTAACATCTATTGAACTAGTTCAATCGGCCGGCATTCCAAGGATGTCAGTTGAACCAGGTTCAAGTTCAACCGGCCAGCATTTCATCGGCGGCGTGACGACCATGTTAATTAGTACCTGATGGAGAAGGAAAAGATACCGCCGCAGTGGGGTGTCTGGCGGGTAGCTAATGGAAAGTGGGGTGTCGACGAATCGATCCCTTTTCGCCAACAGCTAACGCTATTTTGGGGAGACTATATATAATTGATTAATTTCTAACTTCCCCTTGGCTAGCTTCCAGTAAGCACATTGATGATCCTCGTCCGTTTTTAGCATCGTTATCTGAGCCTTCAGGAAACTTACTATCTAGTACTAGTACAATAGAGGGACGTGGTTTGGTTGGATGCATTAATATTGCGGTTGAGCATGTGGAATTCATAATGATATTCAAATAACAAGAAATTGAGGCAGATGATATCTTATGAAACTTTCTATCTAGTACTACTACACTATCTTATCTGTTTTTAGCTTATTATGATTTCTTATGGAAGTGATAATCTCTAATTTGAGTGATTATGGTAGTAGTCACGAGGTTACAGAGTCCGAATCTGATCTCAAAATGGTTAATTCGGATAAGAACCCACAACGTTCCATTAGCATGATTTTGACGTGTAATTGGTTTTATGTGTTGAGTTTCGATGATCTTGCGTTAAACTAATAATGAAGAACTACGAAAAGTAATAAAACTCTAACTAAATTACTATTATAATTACTTGACTTCTTATTCATGGAGAAAACATAGAGAAAAGTACAAATTTATAGGAATAATTCCATAAATTATTTTCCTATCAAACAAGACACACAGATCATAAAACACATAAGTAAACAATAACATAATAAGCAAAACGCAATTAATAATACGGAAATACTAAACAATAATACTTATTCGTCCACCTAGCACGATGCTCATCAAATGCATCAGATTATTTATAATTAAAATAAACATCCCATTTGCATGATTTATTCATTCGGAACTTTTCGGCTTCTTTCTTTCTGACCATGGAGCAGCTTGAATTCATTGCTCTTCTGCGGTTTGTATTTTCATATGGGTAATGAAGCCTCTGTCTTTGCCGTCCAGTTTCATTTGCCTCGAAATCTTCTTATAATCACGGTGGGATATGGATTTATAATTTGGTGCTTGTTTCTTTTGATCCTTGATGAGAAGGTCTGGCAATGGTTCAATCATGATGTTCATGCTTGGGTCGTGAAACGATGCAATTGATAGCCTCTCATTTTTATCGTTCACTAATGCTCTGTGCTCTATGCTCTTGTATTCTCCATTGGTGATAATCTGTGATCAATGCATTTCCGATGTTATTAAAATAGAAATGAATTGTTACAATTGATCTGAGCTTTGGTATCATTACCTCAAGCATATCCCCGATATTGACGATGAATGCGCCTGGAAGGGTAACAACTTTGTACGACAAAATGGAGAAGAAGCTCAGCTCACTCTGAGTCTCCCTTCAGCTTATATAGCTGGTGTTCAATTAACTCAAACAAGACAGGTGTCCTTACATGATTGGTTCAAATTAAACAAACAGTAAAGCTTAACGGCTAAGTGCAGAATAAGTAAAACGCTGCCGTTCTCACTCAACATAACAGCTCTTCATAAAACGAAGTCGTTCCAATCTTCTTTCTTCTTCCTTGTATCACGAATCCTTGCCCAATCTGGATTAGTGCTTCTGCTACTCTTCTCTTCTGGTTTCCTCCTTCTTCTCTTCAATTCTGTCAGCCCCCCTCAAGTTGGTGGTATCAGTTTGATCCCCAACTTGATAAGCAATTCCTTCAACCTGAAACGATCCAGCCCCTTAGTGAAAATATCTGCAAGTTGTTCAGCAGTGTTAATGTACTTCAAATTGATCAATCCAATCTTAATCCTCTCCCTTGTAACATGCATATCAATCTCGATATGTTTTGTCCTTTCGTGAAAAACAGGGTTTTCTGCTATGTGTATAGCAGACCTATTATCACAGTAAACTGTTATAGGGAGAGGCAATTCCACTGTCAATTCACTCAGCAGCCTCTTCATCCATTCCACTTCACAAACAAGATGGGCTAAAGCTCTATATTCAGCCTCAGAGGAAGACCTCGAGACTGTTGTCTGCTTCTTCGTTTTCCAGGTCACTAGGGAAGAACCCAGCATAGTACAATATCCTGTGATGGATCTTCTGGTGTCAGGGCAGCTAGCCCAATCTGAGTCACTGTATCCAGTCAGCTTCAACTCAGCTTCATTACTGAAATGTATCCCCTGATCAGGTGAAGACTTTAAGTACCTCAGTACTCTGTATGCTGCTTGCATGTGTTCTGCACAAGGTCTTTTCTGGTACTGGCATAGCTGCTGGACAGCAAAGGCTATGTCAGGCCTGGTGATAGTCAGGTAATGTAGTCTTCCCACCAGGCGTCTATAACCTTCTGCATCTTCTAGCAATGTACCCTGTGATGATAACTTGACCTTAGTATCAATTGGTGTTTTGCACCCTTTGGACTCCAGGTACCCTGTGTCCTTCAACAACTCAATACAGTATTTCCTTTGGCATACATCCAAACCATTCTCAGTCCTGCTTACTTCCAAACCCAGAAAGTACTTGAGTGGTCCAAGAAGCTTAATCTTAAATTCTTTACTCAGGGCAACCTTAACTTGTTCAATATCCTTCCTTGAATCTCCTCCTAGTATAATGTCATCTACATACACTATGAGAACTGTGATCTTGCCATGAGTCCATTTAGTGAACAGAGAATAATCTGATGCAGACTGTGAAAAACCAAACTTCAATAGGAAACCTGTCAATTTTGCAAACCACTGCCTTGATGCCTGCTTAAGGCCATATAATGACTTTTTCAGTCTACAAGTCATCTTTTGTCCATTCACTGATGGCACCTCTAATCCCAAAGGCAGTTTCATGTAAACTACCTCTTCTAAATCTCCATGCAAGAAAGCATTGGAGACATCAAGTTGTTCAAGCATCCAATGTTTAACACTTGCTACTGCTAAGAAGGTTTTCACAGTGTTAATTTTGGCTACAGGTGAGTATGTGTCTAGGAAGTCAATTCCATAGACTTGGGTATACCCCTTGGCTACCAACCTGGCTTTGTTTCTCTCCAATGATCCATCCTGATGGAGCTTAATTTTATAAACCCACTTGTTGCCAATTTCTTTGGCTCCTGGTGGCAATGGAACTATGTCCCAGGTTTGGTTTTCTTCTAGTGCAAACATTTCATCCTTCATAGCCCTATTCCAGACATCTGATTTAATTGCCTCATAATAAGACTTAGGCTCCACTAGGTTCATCACATTCATGGCATAAAATCTGTCTTCTTTGCTTAAAGCATTAACACTTAAACAAAGTGGATACCTGTTACAGGAATTGGCTCCACCAAATGCTCCAAACTTAAGGGAAGAGTCCAGTTCATAATCTCCATACTTGGTTGGCAGTTTAATGTGCCTGAGTGGTCTTTTGTTTGCTTCTGTGCTAGGATCATCAGGATCAACATCAGCTTGTGGATGAAGTTCCTGCTCATCAGAATCAAAATATGTGTAATGCTCATCAGCAGGTGATACCACTGGCACATTAGGGGATACTTCAGGAGACTTCTCATGCTCCCCCCCTTCATCTGTGGATGAAACAAACTGAGAAGGAGATGCATCAAGAGAGAAAGGAACTGTGAGTGATGGAGGATTTGTAGCAGGAGGTGGAACATGGGAACTGAGAGGGTTAGCAGGAGGAAGAGGTGTGTCTGGTGACTTGAAGGGTAGAATAGTTTCATAGAATGAAACATTTCTGGAGAAAAACACCTGTTTGGTGTGAATGTCCAGAACCTTGTAGCCTTTAAGGCCTGAGGGAATACCAATGAATACACACTGCCTAGCCCTTGGGGCAAATTTGGTTCTTCCATGTACCAGTGTATTAGCATAACAGAGGCATCCAAAGACTTTCAAGTGTCCCATGAAAGGCACTTGCTTGTATAACACTTCATAAGGTGTTCTGTTTTGTAAGATGGGGGTTGGCATTCTATTTATTAAATAAACAGCATGCAAAACAAAGTCACTCCAGTAGAAGAGTGGTAACCCTGACTGAAATTTCAAGCACCTAGCCACATTGAGGATGTGCTGGTGTTTCCTTTCCACCCTTCCATTCTGTTCTGGTGTCTCAACACAAGAGACTTGATGTTCAATCCCTGCTGAACTGAAAAACTCACACATCTCAAATTCCTTCCCCTGATCTGTTCTGATCACCTTGACAGTGGTATGGAATTGAGTGTGAACCAAATTACAGAACCCTTTAATCAACTCTCTTACTTCACTCTTATGCTTCATCAAATACACCCACACACAACGAGAGAAATCATCCACAACAGTCAAAAAGTATGAAAAACCATCATATGAAACTGTAGAAAGAGGACCCCAAATATCCATGTGTACTAAATGAAAGGCCTCAGGTGCCAAACTGGTGCTAACAGGGAAAGGTAATTTACGTTGTTTGGACAAGTGACATACATCACAATGTGTAGTTTTAGTTCTAGCTACTGAGGGAATTACATGGCTAAGTAAAGACTGTCTATCATGACTGGGGTGTCCTAGTCTCCAGTGCCACAGGTTCAGGTCTTGTGGATGAAAGTTGAAGGTGGGAGCAGCTTGGTGTTGAGGAACTGATGAAGTGGAAGGCTTGGTTTGTCTTGAAGGAAGTATGAGATGGTAGAGGCCTCTAGTTGTGTGGGCTAAACCAATCCTCTTCTGGTTTAATAGGTCCTGGATTTCACATTTGTCAGAATGGAAGTGTAAGGAAAAGGGGTTATCAAGGGTAAGTTTACTAACAGAAATGAGATTGAAAGAAAATTGTGGCACTAGGAGAACATCATGTAAGGTTAATCCACAATCCAATTTCACTGTTCCTATGCATGTGACAGTGACTTTAGTACTATTAGGTAGATAAACAAAGGCATTTTGGACTGGAGTGTAACTAGAGAATAGTGTGAGACTACAGGCAATATGATCTGATGCCCCTGTGTCCACAATCCATAAGGTCAGGTCTTGTGTTTTGGAAGTTTGGGAAGAGGACAGAACATGTTTACCTGAAAAATGAGGGAAGGAAATAGGATATTGGGTAGCTGAGTAGGCTTGGTGATTAAGAGATGGGGAAGTAGGTGGTGAGGCTTGATTGTTAGCACCAGTCTGTAGCAAGTATCTGAGGCGAGTCATTTCTTCTGCTGTGAAGCCAAGTGGTGTTGCTGACTTGCTCTCACTAATCACACTGCCTTCTGATGCACTCTCATTCCCACTGTTTTGAGAAATGGACCCAGCAAACCTAGGTGTACTGGAACTAGAGCCAGAGCTGGAAGAAGACCCCCCATTACCTCCACTTTCTCTCTGCATTTCCTGCTTCCTTTTCAGCTTCCAACAGTCCTCAATGTTGTGATTGTTCATCTTACAAAACCGACAAAACTTCTTTCCCCTTGTCTCAGTACTCTCTCTTGAGTTGTTACCTCCTACAGCTAAAGCCAGACTTTGTCCTTTCTTACCTCCCACAGCACTGTCTGCTTTCAATTTCTGCTCATGTTGTAGCAGATCATCCACTGCTGTTGATACTGTGGGTAGGGGCTTTTGCATAAGCAACTGTGTTTTAATCACATCAAAATCAGGGTTGAGACCTCTCAAGAACCTCACCAGATAATCAGTCTCCTGCTTCTGTATGAAAGCAGCTACAGCAGCACAGGGCATGGGATTTCCAGGAGCACAAGTACATGGAACTATTGGGCTAAATTCCACATACTCGTCCCAAAGACCCTTGATAGCTGTGTAATACTGAGTTATAGATCTGGTACCCTGCTTACAAGCCTGAATTTCATCTTCCAAGTTCAATATTCTAAGTGCATTGGGTTGGCCAAAGCGCCTTTTCAACTCATCCCACAATGCCTTAGCATTAGTATGATTCAGTACCGACCTCCTAATCTCCTTAGACATAGAGTTCTGTAACCAACAAAGGACTACAGTATTACAGGCATCCCACAGACTAAACAGATCTGCTTCACGAGGAGGAATTGGAACTGACCCATCAATAAAACCCAGTTTGTTCTTCGTTTTTAAGACCACCTGAATAGATCTACTCCACATGATATAATTCGTCCCATCAAAAGACTCAGCAACAAGAGATTGAGACATGTTCTCGTTGGGGTTGAGATAATAGGGATTACCAAAGACAACTGTCTCTGTTTGCAGCTGGTTCTGGTTGAAGGTGCCAAAACGAAAGCCTGCTGCACCTGTGTTCGTCGTTGACGCGCTTCCACCGGCTCCATTGTCCGGCGGCGTGTTGGGTGGAGTCTGTGCTCCTGACATTCTGTCGTTGGCGGCGGAAAAACCCTAGAGCTCGTTGAGCTCTGATACCATAACAACTTTGTACGACAAAATGGAGAAGAAGCTCAGCTCACTCTGAGTCTCCCTTCAGCTTATATAGCTGGTGTTCAATTAACTCAAACAAGACAGGTGTCCTTACATGATTGGTTCAAATTAAACAAACAGTAAAGCTTAACGGCTAAGTGCAGAATAAGTAAAACGCTGCCGTTCTCACTCAACATAACAGCTCTTCATAAAACGAAGTCGTTCCAATCTTCTTTCTTCTTCCTTGTATCACGAATCCTTGCCCAATCTGGATTAGTGCTTCTGCTACTCTTCTCTTCTGGTTTCCTCCTTCTTCTCTTCAATTCTGTCAAAGGGGATCAATGGGAACCCATTTCCCTTCTTTCATGACTTGCAGACCTTGTGCTTGATTCAGTCGAGTCAACAGAGTCAGTCCAGTGCCGTCGGCATGTGGGGCAATACCGGTGACCTTGCTAGCTTGCTCACATGGCGGATAGTAGTTCATTCTCAGGCTTTGCACACCGTCGTCGAACAGATGGAGCAGCTTTTCTGGCTCCACTCCCAGGTTCTTAGCCATGGAAACCATCAACCTTCTAGCAGCCTTTTCCACCTCTGCCGCATACTTGTCGAGAGTCTCCCTGGTGGAACATGGACAAGCCACAACGTTTGGTTAGTGGGTGATAGTCTGATAGATAGAGAAGGCTAATTTACGAGTGATCGAATTAAGACATGTATATATTCATTTGGCTAGCTAATAATTGATATTGAAAGGAAACAAACCTGAACGAAGAGGGATTTTTGGGCCAGAACCTCATTCTTCTTTCATTGATAGGTGTTGCATTGATGAACAACATGTCACCCCAATCAAGTGTTTGCTTTTCCGAAAACACAAAAGCTTGCCCGTATCCTTCCATGCCAGTTGGCAGTTGTGCATACTCCATTTTCTCTTGCAACGGTAGACGGAAAAACTCTTGAATATTCTCCGTCATTTTGGTAATCACCTCTTCGGCAACCCCATGATTGATCACCTACGTTTTGACATGATGATATCAATCTCTCTTTTTGTATACGATCCATTTGATTGGCAGATTGCTAAATAGCATAAATCATGGAATCCACAATATGACAAACGGGGAAGGCCAAGATAACGAGGACATATGTACAACACAAAGCCATTTAAGGCTATTACTATCCCAAGAAATTTAACTCATTTTGATGAATCCTACCTGGAAGAATCCCCATTCCTTACAAGCCGAATGCAGTCTAGCGGACTCCTCGTTGTCATCGCCAACGAGCTTGCTCATGTCGATGACTGGAATTTGACCAAACTCACCATCAGCAACTTCTTCCAGCTCGCGCTCTGGGCGTATGTACCTAGCCGATACATCCTCCGAGATCGCAGCCAGCTCTTGAACATTGGGAACGGGAAGAGACCCTCCAACCTCCAGGGAGCTCGATTGTTCAACACCGGGAACAGGAACAGAATCTCCAACCTCCAGGGAGCTCGCCTCTTGAACATTGGGAACAGGAAGAGGATATCCAACCTCCTTGGAGCTCGCAGCAGGCTCCTGAACATTGGGAACAGGAAGAGAGCCTTCAACATCCTCGGAGATCAAAGCAGACTGGTGAACATTGGGAACAGGAAGAGGATTTCCAACCTCCATTGCCGCCATTTCAAAGAACACACTTCTTCTTCTGGAAATAGGAGATTATTAACCTTCCTTATCTCACAACAACAGGTATATTTGGCTCCCTCCCTCTCTCTCTCTCTCTCTCGGGTATGGTTTGTATCACAAGGGCTACCGCGGCAGGCTTTATATAGGCAGCTCAATATCACTTATCACGATGACATGGTAGCCGGCGCGTCTCAGCAAGAAAATTCCGGAGGGGCATAATCGGAAACCAACCACTCTTTTCTTTGCTGGAAAAAAGACCTTGAGTGGGGAACTACCACAAGTAGAGGACGAGTCGACGGCTGTTGTAATGGTCCTCCACGAAAAAGCTGTCTCAATTGGACGATCAATCATGCATGAAATATAGACCAAACACTTTATTAGAGTAAAAGATTGGCTGCCTTTCCTAGACTGACTGCATATCTTTTGTTTGTTGGCCGAGGAAGGAAAAAAACTGGACAAAGGGTGAGAAGCCACTCAATAAATGAACTCTAACCCAATATAAACAGTAAGTGTCACTACGGGGAAAAGTGGGTTTAGGCAACACTTGTTGTACAACATTTTTTAAAAGTGTTACATAAAATATACATATGCAACACTTAAGTTATGTGTCGCATAATATATATCTTACACAACACAAATTACCAATACTAAATTTTTTTGTTACATACCTAATAATATGCAACACTTGAGCAATACAATAAATTATGTTGTCTATTATTACACTTTAGGTAACATTTTATAATAAAAAATTACATATTGTATCAATTTAATAGTTCTTATTAGTAACTAACATATTGTCATCGAATATAACTATCATATTGTCGACTGTCATAGATTTGAACAATGAAATTTCCACACTACATATACCAGTGGTTCAAATCATAATGTTCGTTAACAACAAATTAGTTATCATTTATACTAAAAAGTGTTACCTTAAAAGTTGACCGATTGAAATTCATAAACAATGCTCCATTTTATTTTCATTTACATTAATTTATAAACAAATGAATTTCATTAGAGAGGGACTAATTTCTTATAAAACCTGAATTTTCCGCCATACATGTTTAATGTGCTTTTGTGAGGCTTTAAGTAGTCACACACAATATTATTTTTTTAAACAATGTTTAATGAAAGAAGACGTAAGTAATGAAATTATCTTTTTAACAATTTTTTTTTGCGTAAAGAATCAATTTAATAATCTTGTCTTACAAATTATGGTAACGATAGTAAATTATCTTCTTTGACGGTTACCTTCTTTTTGTTACTCATTTATTCGTTTATCATTTGTTATTGCTTATGAGGATTTCGTAGATCACTTTTAAATATAATAATAGGTAAAAAAAGAATCAATTAGTTGTTGTATCAAATCAAACTTCTTTCCACCAAAAATAAAACCAAACTTCTATAAACCCTTAGGTCGCCGTGATCAATCTTTCCCCATACTCGGAGTCTTATGTTGTTCTCCTGTCTGCTTAGGGCTTCCTCTCTAACTGACCGAACCATTGCCAGATGGTTAGATCTCCTTCAAGAACCCCCATTGTATGTAGCTGGAGTTTAATTCCTATTACAGGTACACTTATATCGCTTCCTCTTTGACTTGATAACTGCAGTATGAGTTGATTAATAGATTGATTCTTTTATTCACTACAATCTGCATGTTTGTTTGTACCTCGGAAGGTGTCCAGCGATGGAGTAAAAAGTTGTGCTACGTTTGTTAATTTGGTCATGTGTCCTTGGTGTGAATAGTGAACAAGAGTTTGAGTTTTATTGAAATGTGATGCTGGAGAAGTACTATCCAGATGAAGACAAAAATCGACGCATTTGGCTGATTCAATTTACGAAGTCAGGTGGCAATGGTCTTTTGCATGGGTGAATAACCACTTCACATGTGGTATGAGAAGCTCACAGTTGAGTGAGTCGATTAAAAGCATCCTGAGGAACTATTTGCAGCTTTACCACAATTTAGTTGAGTTTTTCACCTTCTTTAATCAGATGGTTGAAAGAAAAAGATGAGACGAAGTTGAAAGTGATTTTGAGGTTGCTAACACGCTGCCAAATGACTTGTAAGTATGTAATATGTTGTTCTTGTTCCGCTAGTTTTTCTTAAGTAGATGGTTTAGTTGCATTTTCTAGTTGCTTAAACATTTGAATGCATTCCAGAAGTATAATAAACCATAAACACCATAATGCATGCTAGAGGCTGTATAATACTGTCCAGTAATGTTAGTGTAGGTATAGTAATAAAAAGGAAGTATTTCTGTAGCTTACGAAAAGTACTTTTTCTGTTTCATGTCTGCACCAATTTCATGCACATCCCGCTGGTTAAACAAGTATCGGGTGTATACACACACAAAGCTCTCTCTTCTTTTCTAAAGAAGTATTCAGAAAGTATGGTTACTTTGCGTACTGAAATTATTCTCTTGATGCTGATGGACTTGAGGGCTTAGAGGTCCAAACTTTTAAAGGGACCGACAACCAAACTATGCTTGTGAACATTAAAAAGACGAAATACAAGTGCTCATGTCACATTTTTTAGCGTCGTGGTTGGCTTTGTCGACATGTAATGAAGCAAATAGAGTCTTGTGCTTTCAGTAATGGACTCATGCAGAGTGTATGTATCCATGCTTCATATATTCTGTCAAGATGGACGATAGATGCAAAGACTAGAGGGAATTTTAGTTTCAACATGTCAAAAGATGTTGAGACGGGTACATATGCTGTGAGCTTTCAAGATCTTTGTGCTAGTATGGTATTGATTGCTACAGAAGTTTTATTCGTTGAAGAGATATATAAGATAGGGAAGGAGAAGGTTGTGGAGATCAGGCGAGATGCTCTGTTGATGCTTTATAATGTAGCAGATAATTCCACTCAACAAGGTTAGCATGTGCTATATTTTTATTACTTTTTTATTCTTATTTGTTTCAATGTTATCGCAACCCAGTAATGTTTGATTTCATAGTAGTTTTTAAGACAAATGAACATCAAAGGTGACTCGTTTATTTATTAGCCCGTGATGCTTATTTGTTAAGTGGAATTTGATCTTGTGGTCTTTTCTTTTTTACCCTTCCCACATACCTGAGTGTTTCTGCTTTTGTTAGTGCTGCTGCTTCCTCCATAAATGACAAGTACGCAAATGTTAAGGGTTTCAAAGCTCAAAATGACCAATGGAAACCAAAGAAAAGGCCAAAGAGTGTTGTGGAGATAGATTTCGAAAAGAGTAAACGTAAAAACAGTGGGGGAGGGGGGGAGTCTGCTGGTAAGCATTTGAAGAAGAAGAAGGCGTAGTCATAGTTTTGTTTTGTTTTTTTATTTTAAACAAGAGTTCAGCTTTACAAGTGTCTGAGTATGTAGGAGCCCACACTCAATAGATTGTATCCCAGAAACTATAATATCAAGTCCATTAATTGTATGAAATGGACCACAAATAGTAGGGTATCACTCTACATATACCATACTGTACTCTAGTACTATAACATTATAGGCCACAGTGTTCTTAAAGTAGGCCAAAAAATGAGTTTAGTAGACCACAACTAGTTTGTTGTTACAACGGTACATATATGCAATGTAATCCATAATTTTCACATAGCAGGCCAGAAATAGATGAAGTCGACCACTTGTGGTAAATAAGTGGTTATTTTTTAGTTATTATTACTTTCCAATATTCTTTCATGAAGATCTTACACAAGAGATTTTCCATGATTACTATCTATTGTGTCCGTCTCGTCACACCTACGCACCTATAATCCTCCTACTAGTACAAGCCAGTGCTTGCAGGGCAGTAACTTGCGGTCGACGATAACTGCCAGGTGGCAATTGCCGTTTGCAAAACAAAAAGAAGAAGAAAAAAATTATCTGCCTTTTCATTTAAATTAGAAAAGCAACTGTTACATGTAAATGTTTATTTATTCATAATGTAGTTATCTTCCATTCCTTCTCTAATAGTCTTATTCTTCATTAATTCTCCAACTTCCTGTTTCTTTCCACGGCCAAAAACTCCAATGGTGCAGGCCCCTGACAATGCTATGTTTCATAATGCTTTTTCCCGAGCCAACAAGTTTTGTCGTACGCAGGATCATTAGAATGCTTACTGTGCATATAAGGAAGGGCTCCACATTTTGGTCGAGTATGAGTTCTTACTATGACTGTCTTTCCTTCTGAGGTTCGTGATTTGATTAAAAATCTTGGGTAGGAGTGGTTCTTTTACCATCACAAACTTGAATTCTCTTATTACTGCCCCATTCTTGTGAAGTTGTTTTACCACAACCTTGAAAATGAGAGTTCTCTTCCTGGTGCTCCTTTGTTATCTTCCGAGTTCCTTGGCGAGAGTGTTTGTTTCTCACCAACTTTATTTGTTGAAACCCTGAAGTTCCCTTTTAAAGGTCTTTGTATGAAAGATGTTGGGATGATTCTAAGGAAGACCTTGATGGTCTCGCTGGAGGGATAATTTATACATATGTTCTCCCTGATCGCCTGAAATTCCTTCATTGGCTTATTGTTCATTTCTTCCTGCCTCGCATGGATAGTCACCATGCCCTATGACCCATTGACATCTTTGTCATGTCTTGTGTTGTTTAGGGGATAAAGGTCAACCGGCCCTATCTCATGATCCATAACATGATTTCTATTGTCCTTGGTGTTGGCAACCGTCATGTGAGACTTCCATGCTACTTTTATCACCAAATTTGTTCAGGAATCTGGTATTTGTCTTGATGAGTACGTGTTCTTCTACAACCGTGGACTCAACATTTTTGTTTATAGAATAATGGATCAAAGCATCAGTTACTATCAATTGCGAGCACGAGCTTCTTTACGTGCAGTGCAAGACGAAGCAGAGTCATCCACAACAGTTGTGAAACGTCATGGGGTTGGTTTTGGGCAATGACAATGAAGAAGAAGAAGAAGATTTTAGGTTTTTAATTGGATTTGGTTGTTTTTTTTTTAATTTATGGACAATGGTTTTGTTGTTTTCTGTTTGTCTTTAGTTGATGGTTGTGCGTGGACAATGGTTTTGTTGTTTTCTGTTTGTCTTTTGTTGATGGTTGTGTGTTTGTTTTGTTTTTTTGTGAACAATGGTATTGTGTTACAAGTTTTAATATTAAATGTGTGTGTAATGTGACTTTGTTTTTACAATGCTCCATCAGCAGCTAGAAGTAACCTAAAAAAAAAGAAAACAAATAGAGGCTGTCGTTTGGACATCCCAAGAAATACAATATGAGAAAGGAAGACTCCATCATGGAGTAACATTGATAGGCTCCACAACGAAGAGGGCCATCACAGACGGAGCAGGATGCGTAAGCCATTATCGACCAGAATGCACAAAACGAATTTCGCGACCCACTCACAAAGATGGAACTAACATTTTCTTTTCTAGTACACAAGTTTTTAAAACATATGCCATAGTTATAGAAAAAAATGT